AAATATTACTTAACATTGCACAAGACATACGAAATATATATATACAACAATCACTGCAAAATGATTATCCCTACCAAACAGGAGATTCCTTACCACCAGGATCCCTTCCTAGGCCTAACTAAACGTGTCACTAATACCTGATACCCCTAGGGCATTGCAGAAGGCTGGATAAAGCACTAAGACAAAGGTCAAAGCTTGAGAACAATGGACGCGTCTTACCACTGCCGCGGATTTTCGCAACTGGCGTCGTAGGGACGCCGGTGAGAAGCGTGGGTACCAGGGTTGCCAACTCGAATTTTCAAATGTCGCTAGACTGGCACCTAAACGTAGCTAAATGTCGCTAAATCTTCCATGGAAAGTCGCTAGCTATTATTCCCCCCCCTTCAGTAATTTGATGCAAATTATATTTTCATAATGCCGACTATAATGGACGGAAGAGATAAGGCAGCGAGTGCAATTTCAGCCAGATCATGGTAAGGGTTTTCACCGTTCGCATCTCTGTAATTTGCCACTTCTGACCACAATTTTAGGGTGTTAGATGTTTCTGTCCAGATTGTGTGATGCAGTTTTTTCCACTGGAAATCAATCTTGGTAAGGGTGCTGGAATCTTCTGTAAATAAGTGTGCCAAACCAAGTATATCTGATTTAATAGGCTTCAAGCATTCATCGGCACTCAGAAAAGAAATAGACTGCAGCACACGAATGTTGTCAGGTAAGCGTTGACCAAGTTGTTTTATGAGTTCAACCCGTTCAAATGCATTGTCCCTGTAACCCCGTTGCTATATATTATGGCTCGAAATTAGGAAAACCGAGTTTTCATGGACAGTCCAAAAGTATCCAGAAAGTCGCTAGACTTCTGTGGATATCGCTCTAAAATGTCGCTAGAAAAAAACAAAAAGCTCTAGATCTAGCTACAAAGTCGCTAAGTTGGCAACTCTGGTGGGTACGCCGGTGAGAAGCGCGTCTTATCTCACGTGATCCAGACATTTGCTAGATATCTTATAAAATTAATTAATACTCTCTTGATTTGAACTTAACAGAGTAAGACAATGATGCATATTAATAACATACATAAATATACAATTAACCTAAGTAACTAAGAACAATAATAATATAATAAATACAATTAACAATTTATTAATAGCTTATATGAAATGTGCCTCATGCTATGCGACTTCCCGCGCTCTACAGGCACGTAACATCATAGAAAAGAATAGGTGGTAACTTGATGTCCAAAACGTAAGGCCGTATCAAGGAACTGCACGTGGAGTCCACTTCAGTCCAAGTTTAAGTTTGGGCCTATTTCCAGTCGTAGAGGATTCTTCTAACTCGTCAGGTGTTGGCAGCAACTGGCAACCGAGATCAACAGACTCTGGCGTCCGAACTCCACAGTAACTCTTGCAGGTTAGTGCCTCGACTAACTCCAGCTTGGGGACGTCGTCAAGGACACGAGCAATGTGGGTCCTGCAATTATATTTCCTTAACATATTAGCTTGATGTAATTTAGGCTTAGAGGAAGGGGGCGAGAACCGTCCAACAAAATCTATGGCTTCCCGAGAAGATGGTTCTGCAATGGGTAAGGGTTCAAGTGGAACAGGACGGACTCTACCCTTGGCGGACATACGTGGGCACTGATCACAACTCCTACAAAAAGCTCTAATATCCGCTCCCATACCTGGCCAGTAAAACTGATCATCAACCTTCCTATAAGTTTTCCTACGAGAACAGTGACTTACAAGAGAGCTCTTGTGAGCTACAGAGAGAATGTTACTACGACAAACATCAGGGACAACAAGTAAAAACCGACCTACTTTAGCTGGTCGCTTGGATGAAACACAAGACCTGTGTAACACCCCATTAATAGAAACAAACTTATAAACCGACCCATCTCTCACCTGATCCTCCTCCCCGGAAGTCACCTTCTCCCTTACCCGCTTCAGAGTGGCACACGAGTGTAGGGGTATCGAGATATTAATGTTGTCTAGCACTCAGGATGGAAGGAAACTCTAATGTGGTTTTCTTGTATAATATATAAGTTATATGATAGACAGTCTGGTGCTGGAGATGCTGTGTGGTGAGGGGCTGCTTGGTAGAGACGTGCGGTGAGTAGCTTGTTGAAGGAGGTAGATGTGGAGGAGCTCCTTATCATGGGGGACTTTAACTATGGCGACATCGACTGGAGAAACGAGTCAACCCCGAATGACTTGAATAATCCTGCTACTCTTTTTGTAGAAACTCTGAGAGATAATTTTCTGTTCCAACATGTGAGAGACCCGACACATTACAGAGGGGAGCAAACACCCAAGCCACTTGACCTCATCATAACAAACGAGGAGGGTATGGTGGCCAAACTGGAACACCTTGCCCCAGTTGGCACCAGTCACCATACAGTGTTGTCATTCAGATTTAACTGTTACCTAGTTCAAGATAAGGCCAGGCCAAGGTGCAAATATTACAAGGGAAATTACAATGGGATGAGGGAAGAGATGAGGGGTATCAACTGGCCTGACTTATTAAGGTACAAGAACGCAGACACTACGCTGAATATCATAACTAGTAAAATGACCCATTTGATCGATAAATATATACCCAAGACCAAGCCCAGTGCTTCTAGGAATACGAGGGGATCCCTACACATGAACCATGCGGCGGTCGACAAAATTAAGAAGAAAACCCAGAAATTCAAGACGTGGGTTGGGTCAAACGATGAGCAAGACAGGAGGATGTATGCAAGAGCCAGAAACCAAGCAAAGATAGAGTGTAGGAGGGCTGAAAAGGAGTTCCAAAGGCTGGTTGCACGCGAGGTCAAGTCAAACCCAAAGGCGTTTTACCGCTATGCAAAGTCGAAATTGAAAACGCGAGTAGGAGTATCAGACCTGAGGCTTGAAGATGGTAGTTACGCAGATTCTGACCAGGATAAAGCTGAGGCATTGAACAGCTTCTTTTCCTCAGTGTTCACAAGAGAGGATGCAACTAACCTTCCTGCGTTTGAGGACAGACGGTTCGACACAGCACTGACCCACATTGTGTTCACAGAAGAGGGTATTAGAAATAAACTGTCCAGGCTAAAGGTCCATAAGAGTCCTGGACCTGACATGGTGCATCCTAGAGTGCTAAGGGAGCTGTGCAACGAGCTTGCAGAGCCCCTGAAGATTCTGTTTTGTAAATGCCTGGATGAACAAATGGTCCCCAGTGAATGGAAAGTGGCTTATGTGAGTCCTATCTTCAAGAAGGGCGATAGGCACTCCACGAACAACTATAGACCGGTGAGCCTGACCAGCATAATATGTAAAGTACTTGAGAGTATTATCAGAGATGCAGCGATGGAACATCTACTACGAAACAACCTTGTAAAAGATTGCCAACACGGTTTTATGCCGGGGCGCTCTTGCTTGACACAATTGCTCAAGGTATTGGATATTTGGACCCATATTCTAGAACGGGGTGGTAATATCGACAATATTTACCTAGATTTTGCCAAGGCTTTCGACAGTGTACCCCACGAAAGGCTGAAAATCAAACTGGAAGGGTACGGAATTCGGGGAAATGTCCTAGCGTGGATAGAAGACTTTCTACATGACCGCAAGCAATGTGTGGTGATTAATGGCACGAAATCGTCATCTGTACCTGTAACAAGTGGGGTACCGCAGGGTAGTGTATTGGGCCCGCTGTTGTTTGTTTGTTTCATAAATGATATGCCTGACGTTGTACACTCCTCCATACAAATGTTTGCCGATGACGCCAAGTTATTTCGGGAAATTAAGAACCAAGCGGACTGTGAAGAGCTGCAGAAGGACCTCTGTGGGCTCCAGGAATGGTCGAAGGAATGGCTGCTGAGATTCAATGTCACGAAGTGTAAGAGGATGCACCTGGGGCGTACCAACGGTAAGGAGGCGTACCATATGTCCCAACGGGATGAAGAAAATGTACTAGTTGAGACTGTGTGTGAGAAGGACCTAGGTGTGTATGTTGACAATGAGCTGAAGTTCTCGGGCCATTGTGAGAAGAAGGTAAATCAGGCAAATAAATTATTGGGTCTTATAAGAAGGTCGTTCAGATATCTAGACGGTCCGTCCCTCGTGACGATCTTCAGGAGTGAAGTGCTTCCCCATCTGGAGTACTGTCACCCCATCTGGTCCCCGAGATATGCTAGGGACTGTCAGTTGGTTGAAAATGTTCAAAGGAGGGCCACCAAACTGGTGCCTGCACTTCGGCATCTCAGCTACCCTGAGAGATTGGAGCGCCTGAACTTGCCTAGCTTATACTACAGACGGGCAAGGGGGGACCTAGTTGAGGTTTATAAGCATCTCAGGGGGCACTACTCAGTTGAGTGTCCTTACTTGGAGCTGGCGGACGCTCGCCCCACAAGGGGTCACAGCTCAAGATTGAAGAAGCCGCAAGTCCGGAAAACCGTGAGGGCAAACTTTTTCGGAGTGAGGGTTGTAAACTCTTGGAACAATCTACCAGAGAGTGTTGTGACGGCACCGAGTGTGAGCTCTTTCAAGAGAAGACTTGACCAACACTGGAGCGGGTTCAGGTACATTCAGGAGCCGGTGCATGCCCAGTATTTGCCAACAGTGCGTGACAGAGACGTGACCGATCGCCCGGGCGGCTAGCGAGCCGACCTTTTGGTGAAGAATATAAAGGAAAAGAGACGTGACCGATCGCCCAAGCGGCTAACAAGCCGATCAGTGGCGAAGAGGATAAAAGTAAAAAAAAAAGTAAAAGTAACCACTTGTGCACTGGGTCCACACTCTGCTGAATAAAATTGTCTGGCATTAGCTGAATAAAATATTAAAAGTGGTTTCCAAATACAGGGTAGTGAGGAGGTTAAAAAGGAAAAAAGCATTGTAGATGAATGCAAATGCTCGGTTCTTAATTTCCCGAAATAACTTGGCGCCATCGGCAAACATTTGTATGGAGGAGTGTGTGTGGTATGAGGAACTCCAGAGACAACCATTTTGTGATATAGAATATTATTGATATGGATATGTATTTTTGTAAGCTTCGAGGAGGAAAACGTAATTATGTCTTGTGAATCCGCGCTAGAACGAATATGGGGGGGGGAGAGACGCCATGGCGTTGTTTACATCCCGGGGCCCAGTAGCAGGTATGTCCCACGTATTTCTTTGCTCTGTTAGAGTGTGTTTGATAGATTGAGCATAATAAATGTTATATGAAGAATGTGATGATCTCGTGGAGGTAGTTTGTAAGCCAGAATAAGGCTAATTCTAGCGTTGCTCTCCAGACATTCACCCTGGAGTGAGTCTACACCACGGGTTTATTATGTATTGTTTAATTCCTACTACTGTGTGGTACCCATATGACAACAGTTGATGCTTGTTTTGTATGTATAATAACTAGTTATGTCTGATCTAGGTCCCAGCCTCTTCCTTCTCGGGTGATTTCTAGAGTAAATAATTGAGAGAAGACTACAAGTGTGTCCCATCCCTGAATTGGGAGTTCCCTGCTTTGTGCTTTAAGTCAGGCCAACAGGTTGAGACACAAGCTGTTTTGGTCAGGACTTGAGGATGTTGACCAGAGTCCGCTAATATCCTTCAATATTTAGGTAAGTAGAAGGAACTCTTTTTTTTGTTCCATGTATTTTGATAATATATAACAAATTAACTTCATGAAAGAAGTTATTGTAGGTCGTAGTTATGGCGGAAGACGTGAGGGGACAGCCCCGCCTACTGTAAATGATTCATCGCCTTTAACCAATAATTCGTATATCTATGATAATAATTATATACATTGGTCATGTAATTGGTGAAAGATTTATATTTGTACTGTAATATCCATGTAGATACTGTTTTAGTTAATGGATACAGATGGTTGCCACTTTATTTACGGTAAGAAATTAAAGTTAATCTTATATTTAACGGGTATAAAGGTATTCTTGGAAGAGATGACTAAAACCAGCAGGTGTTGTTCAATTTCTTTCATTTTTTCAATATGTTCTTACCATTATGATATATTTTAAAATCTAGGTGACATTTACTAGAACCTATTAAAACCTGATATATTTATATAGTTTTATTTATGACTTGTGTAAGTTTTATAATTTATTTAGTGAATTTTCGATCTTGCACTGGTATTTCTCTCACTGTTATTAATATGTTTTTCGTAATGTTTAGACAATCTAAAACATTTTTCTTTTGTGACATTTCCGCCGGAAATTAAGGATAACCGAGATATTAATTTTTCAATATTATTAGATTTGGTCATTCACGAGTGTTGTCATTTGTTGTTTACGTCTCACGGAGGTCTGACCGCCCGTCGCGCAGTGCTCCTTACCTCCGTGTTGGATTCTTAAGCATCTACAGCGCATGTGTGGGGGGTGGTGTGGGATTTTCTTATTGGCTATAGGAGACTTATAATTGGGCGAGAGTTTTACGTCAATTGCAGATTTTCGTCGGAAAAATAGTGTTAGGTTAGTTAAGGTTAGGTTTGGATTTGTTAGTTTGTTGGTTTTTTATTTATGTGATTTACCCAAAGAACTATTGATTTCCGGCTGAAATTAATATTAAATTTGTTCGAAACTCATCGAGTAACATTGAAAAAACATATTTTTAATATCTGAACAAAGACCGGTGCATTTGTGAAAATTTACCATTTATTTTACACAGTGTTACAGACACCTGCTCCAAGTGATACGCCATGACAGAAGTGTTCCGGTTCGGCCTCGTGCCCATCGCTTGTCGTGCCCGGAATGAGGACCGCAGCCGTGAGTACCGACCTATATGAAGTTAAATAGCACTTGCCTGGCAGGTAAATTGCCATCTAATTTTCAAACTGAGTTTTATCGGTATCACTTTTCTAGAAGAAGTTTTTGTAATATTTGATGATCTCCCACCAATCACATTTCAGGATGCAATCATTCTGCTAAGTTCTAAAATAGATATGTTAGGTCTCACCATTACCTATAATATGTCATGGAAGCCACACGTCCACAACATTGCTAAAACTGCCTTCCGAAAGCTGGGAATGCTGTACAGATGCCGTAGCTACTTTACTCCTGAGCAGTTGCTTCAGTTTATAAGAGATTCATTTGTCCTAACTTGGAGTACTGTGCTCATATCGAGGGTGGCTCTTCTTCTGTCCAACTGTTAGATAAGGTGGAATCAAAGGCATTTCATCTTATTGACTCTCCTCCTTTAATTGATAATCTTTCATCCCTTTCTCTTTGCTTCAATGTTGCTTCACTCTCTTTTTTACAGGTACTTTAATGGCCAATGTTTGGTGGATTTGGCATCCCGTGTACTGCCGGCAAGGCCGTGGACTTGTAACGCTCGTATTGCCCGTGGTGCCCACAGTTTCTCTGTGGGCAATTCAATTTCTTTTTACTCTTATTTTTTTTGCCCCCTAGGCCCCATTGTGGTTCAATGACCTGTTGCTGGGTGGCCTATTCCCCGTAAAAAAATAAAAAATAAAAATAAAAAATAACTGCAACCACAGAATTCTGGAAGATTAGATTAGGTTATTCTTTGGTTACTGTAATCTGCAATTTTACCTAAGTTTTCAGCCAGACAGCTGTCATAATACAGCATAATCACTGGGGGGGGGTTCAGTCCTCTTTTTTATACCTGAGCAGGACTGGTTTCCTCTTCTGGTCATAACATGTTCAAAGCTTCTGATCTCTCCCAGTTTGTACCAGAAAGTAGGTGGAGTTAATTTTATTTTATTTTTTTTTTCATTGTTAGGTTTAGATTTTATTTAGCTACTTAGCTTCTCTGTAGTTTTGTTTTGTTTCTCTAGTTTTGCAACCTCAGTGCATGTGTGTGTATTTCTTACAGAAGTGGCATTGAGTCTCAACAACAATGAAGTGAATATATATGGCAGAGCTGCATCAGAGTGGAAGCTTCAGGAAACACTCCAGGGTCATGATCTGCGTGTCACAGGCATTGACTGGGCTCCCAGCACCAATCGCATTGTTACATGTGGAGCAGTAAGTTTACTGTGTATTTATTTAACCTTTTCATGTGGTTAAGGCATAAATAATTTAAGACTTTAACTTTATCTTTTTTGGTTCAGTTAGTTTTGTATTGTAGCATATACATTTTTTCACTCGGCCCTTAACATACGCTGGTGTTAGGTTTGAGAGATACCCGTGAATGTTAAAAATCCGTGTACTTTTGCCCCCCCCCCTGAAAAACCCCTGGCCCCCCATGTCCTTATTTACCATATATACCTGTGTGTAGTTCGAGTTTTTAAGACCAAATTATTTGGCAAAAAATTGGAGGTCAACCTCTAAACGGGTAATAGTTTCGTTAGGTTGAAAAATATTTACCAGTAACTACCAGTAAACTATGGAAACGACGCACCACCGGCTGTGAGTGTCGGTACAGTTGCCAGGGCAGATCTCTTGCGTCATCATAGGAAGCCCAAAGTAGCCAAATGCATGGTATGGTATACACAGGACGATGTAAAACAAAGTATTCATTTTTTTAAAGTTTATTTATAGATACTGTACATCAATTTTTGTTCATTACATTTGAAACATCAATCATTGTTAATTAAATTTGAAACAAGTATAGTAGTTTTGTTGAAACGTAATGTACAGTATTTAATATTAAAATGCAAAAAGAGCTATAAAATCAATTAATACTGTACACCTGTAATGTACTGGCTGGCATCTCCACTCGTCCCTGCTGCCGCCAGTCACCGCTCGTCCCCGCTCTATGCCTCCGCCTCCTCCACATCGTCACTACTGTTGTATTAAAATAATATTCTATCCTAATTCACTTGAATAAATACTACAATACCATATTTCTGAATATTTTCATTAAAATCCATCAAAATCTATTTCCTTGTCATCGTCTTAAGCACCAAAGAGCTCCTCCCAGTCTTCTCCTTGAACAGGGCTAGAGGGTACGTGTTTTTCGAATCGTTTTCAATTAAAAATTTTTACATCACATGTATATTTTACCTAAACTACGCCTGCATGAATATATTCTCAGAAATAAATAGTAGTTTTGCTGAAACGTGTTGTATTTCAATGTAAAATAGGATAAAATACATGACGAAAACAAAAGACTTTACCTAACCTTCCGATGTTCAAGATATGTTACTCGTTTTTTTAATAGTTTTTGGTTTAAATACTGTTATATTACAATGATATTTTATTCATACTGTGCTTGATATACTACATTCACGGAAATGTAATATTTTTGCTGAAATGACGTATGTATTACAGTGGAAAGTGGGATAAAATCGTGACGAAAACAATGACTTTCGCTTTGTTTCGTTCAAAAGATGTTACCGTAATGTAAATGGATCAAAATAAATGAAGAAATTTATGTAAATCTACCCAAAAATGCAGTTGAAAAACTTTTTATAAAATGTACTACAGTATTGTACACTAATGTACTACATTTTTTATATCTTGAGCAAAATATATGACGCTTATATTCAAATTAATCTCTGTCTTGCAAGGATTTCAGCAATGCAAATTATATTACAGTAAAAGTCCAAAAATCCGGATGCTAGAAATCCGGACCACCCGTGAATCCTGATTTTTTAGCAGGCTTTTGTGTGTATGTGCGCATGCGTGAGCGCCACAGCTGCACAGCGACAACAAGCGACCACGTGGTCGCCAATTTAAAACGAGCAATCAAACTGTGACAATTTAAAACGAGCAATCAAACTGTGACAACATACCGTTTATAGGTCGACCCTGATTTTTTGATCAAGAAATCGTTAATTTATGATATTCCTCGTTTATAGTTTGACCCACGTTTTTGAGGGTAATGGAACAGCAAAACCTTCAGTAAAAACACACTATGTCCTATAAACTGAGGCTCGCCGTGCCTGAAACACAAGTGCCGAAGGCAAATTGTTTACCATTTATTATTACGACACTTTACACTGAAACGCGGGTAGTTTCAACAAAAATATTGTATATTTCCATTCAAATATTTATTCAAGTCAATTAGGAGGGAATATTATTGTAATACAACAGTTTTTTAACTAAACCATTCGAAAAGCGATTTCGGTAACATCTTTTGAAGGAAAGAAAGCGAAAGTCATTGTTTTCGTCACGATTTTATCCCACTTTCCACTGTAATCTGTACGTAATTTTAGCAAAAATATTACATTTCGTGAATGTATTATATCAAGCACAGTATGAATAGAATATCATTGTAATATAACAGAATTTCATCCGAAAACTATTAAAAAAACGTGTAACATCTTAAGAACATCGGAAGCTTAGGAAAAGTCTTTTGTTTTCGTCATGTATTTTTATCCTATTTTACATTGAAATACATCACATTTCAGCAAAACTATTTATTTCCAAGAATATATTCATTCAGACGTGTGATGTAATAGTTTTTTAACTGAAAACGATTCGAAAAACACGTACCCTCTAGCCCCGTTCAAGGAGAGGACTAGGAGAAGCTGTTTGGTGCTGCAGACGATGACAAGGAAAATGATTTTGATGGATTTTAATGAAAATATTCAGAAATATGGTATTGTAGTATTTATTCAAGTCAATTAGGATAGAATATTATTGTAATACAACAGTTTTTTAACTGAAAACCATTCGAAAAGGGATTACGGTAACATCTTTTGAACGAAAGAAAGATAAAGTCATTGTTTTCGTCACGATTTTATCCAACTTTCCACTGTAATACGTACGCCATTTCAGCAAAAATATTACATTTCCGTGAATGCATTATATCAAGCACAGTATGAATAGAATACCGGTGTAACATAACATTATTTTGAGTCTTACTCTTTCCATTTACAGAGTACTGTACAAGCCCATGATAATGGCTCCTATAGTAGATAAACTTCGTTGTGTGAAGAGAAAGAATAACTCGTTGAAATTGAGTGACAAACTTGAAATAATTAAGAAACTAGAATGTGGTGTGAGCAATACTGTTCTAATGGAAACATACGACATTGGAAAGTCTACATTTTATGATATAAAAAAGGCAAAGAATAAAATTCTAGAATTCACAGCTTTTTCATTAAAACTGCTCGTTTTGGGACAGATGTTACCCTCACTAACAAACATGGCAGGTTTTCTGCAGGTACAATACTACAGTTTCCTCCCATACTGTACAGTTTTAACAGACCAACTGCCTAAACGGCTCATTACCGGTAATTACGACGTCGCTACGTGAATCCTAATTTAATGTTGACTCGGCCATAGTGAGCTTTAACATTTATGCCACTGATGAATGAGTCTTGATCACACACAACTATAAGGTGGCCTTCTCTTGCCACTCCATCTCTCCTCTGGCCTTTATTGTGTAAAAGCCAAGAATTATTATTGTGTGAGGATGTAGTGGATCTGAGGTGACAATGATAAATATTTTGGCGTTAAGTCGGTGGTGTGGTACTGTGCAGGTCTGACCCACCTGGTACAAACTACTGCAGGGAGTGAAGACCTTCCTTAAAAGGTTTAACTTGGCAGGATTCAGAAGGCCACAATACAGACGTCCTCAACGGCACTTGATGGTTTATAACGGCCATTTATTATTACTTACTTTTGACCTTGATGATGTGGTTCAGCCATTATCAGATGCAGGTCAGGAACACAAAGGACTGTTCCTCTATAATGCTCACTGAGTAAATGAGGATAGTTGCTTCAAGGCTCCACTGGGCAGATTGTTACCAGGTTTTATTTACAATTCTTAATTATTACATGGAATTATACATTTTCCACAATATATACTAAACTGTATACCTGTGTTGTCTATATACATGGTGAACTGTATACCTGGGTTGTCTATATTGTTTTAACTGTGGTAAGATACCAAACTATCTCACTTGTTAACACTTGCCTGAACGAGTGTAGGTTAGTCGCTGGTACCTTTGATGCAGCCGAGTGAGATATAGGGTCATCTCACGTCATGTCACCTTTGATGCAGCTGAGTGAGATATAGGGTCATCTCACGTCATGTTACCTTTGATACAGCTGAGTGAGATATAGGGTCATCTCACGTTGTAACGACCACGGTCTTACACGCCAGTTAGCGCCAAAGTCAAATGATTCGTATTACGCTCAATAGCCCACAAAACATGTAACTCGGCTTTCGTTTGAGTCCTCCATCTGAGGAGTCCGTTTTCTCATCACTTCAAGACACCTCAGCCCTCCGTTATCCCATTTTCTCTGACTTACTGAAACCAACCTCTCTATAAAATGAATTTGAGTGTGAGAGAGAACACCCTTGTTGTGAGTCAACTTAGATATGTCTGCTTACAGTTGGAACATTCAAGATCCATTATGAGTGGGGTAGAATGCTTCAACTGTCCTTATCGTTAGTAGAACGTGTCAAGTAAGTGAGTGTCGAGTTTGCCAGCTAGAGTGGCGTATTTTATGTCGTCCGTGGGGGTATCCGTGAGTTTCTGATTGCGCCTGAAGTTATATCATTTTGTCGCCCCGACATCAGAGAATCTGATGTTTATAGTTTAATTAGTGTCAGTTGTCTATTTGAGAAAGTCATTAATCTCCTGAACTATTCTGTCAACTGGTATAATCTCCAAGATCTAGCGCCTCCCTGTGACTAGCTCCTTGTTTCGTCTCAGGCCTGAGCTTGCATAATTAATGTTATCGACGTGTATATTCCACCTTTTCCTGGCAAGCTCAACCTCTGATTAGATTATATGAATAGACATAGGAAATTACCCTGATCAAGAACACCGGAGTTCATAACTAAGTATACAGTGATCCAAAATGATAGAGAAGTTATGTTGTTGGTAAGATCGACCCTTCTGGTATGAATATGGAGGCCCAAGCTGCCCAGCAGGTGCACATATATACCTCTACATGAGGGAGAATCACGCATTCGTGACTTCCTCAACGTCTCTCCAGGTATGTTAACGTGTGTTCCCGCCGCCTATTAATTCAGTTT